TCCCTGGTAAAAGAACACAGCTATGGGCTTTGGGACTTCAATGCATTGTCATAATTGGAAGATCATGTTACAAAGATCTCATGGAAGAAAAAAAAAACACTCAGGCATTATCATTATGCAGGGGCGAGGCAGGAGAGTCACTGAGCAGCATCACCGTGGCATTTACTCTGTGCTAGTAGGACACTAAAAATACTGCCTCTGTAAAGGGGGACAGAACGTCCTTTAAGTGAGTGCGCTCGTGGGCGATTTGATGTAGCTTCCCTGACAAGGGAAATTAGAGGATTCAACTGTTGGAAGAAATTAAAGGATGTTTCTTGATTCAGAAAAGAAAATTTTCTCCAAATCACTTGCCAGCTCATTAAAAGGAGCTTGATGTGATTTTCTGCAAATGTGACTTTAACCTCTACATTTGTAGGTGACTCCTTCAAACACAATTTATTCCTGCTCCCTGTTACGGGCTGACAAAAGCATGCAACAAGGAAATTAAATCATCAGTTGGCTCCAAACTGGGGAATAAAACCTAACAACTTCCTTTAAGGACCCCCTCATCCCAAACTACTTCCTACAAGCTGTGCAAAGGCCAACAGCTTTGGCTGGCATGGATTATGGGGCAGGAATCCTTCTGCTTGTCTCTTGACAACTGAAAGAATCACCTTTGCTTTGGGTCAGGCCCATCCTGTACACCTACCACTCCCTGAGAGGCTGGAGCTAGGTTAATGCCCTCCAACAAGACAGAACAACTGGGTCTAGCTCATCAAACAGCCAGTGCTTGGGAACCAGCTGAAGCAGCTTTGTGGATTAATACTTGGTTGTAGATCCTAGTGGGGCAGCTTTGGACTAGACTAGATGGCCCCTCAATGTTGACAGGATAGGCTTCAATTTAGTTTGTGGATATTTAACCTCAGCTGGAGTTAATTCTCCTTCAAATCAAAGCAGGTACCACACTAGCAAAGGCTGGTGCCAACATTTTAGCAAGCACTTATTGCTTCATTCATTTATTCCAAAACAATCTCCTGGGGACATGAGAAATGTTGATACCACCTTGAGTACCACCTGCATGGGTGGAGGACAACAGTCTAGACAGCATGCTAGACTGTCAGGCTCCACTTCCTGCCCTAACACATTCCCTGTGAGCACCTGAGGTAGCCTGAGCCCAAACAACATCAGCCTTAATGCCACTGCCCTCTACTCAGAGTGATTCAGCTTGGGGTACTCCCTACCCAGATACCACAGGGTTGAGGCTTGTGGCCAAGGATTTCAGCTGCTCCTCAAAGCCACACCTGGATGGTTTAAAAACTGGACCACTGGGGCTCAAGAAAAAAAAAGCCAGTGAGACTTTCTACATGGATGTGCTATTCTCTGAAAGCTCAGGGGAGGAGGAAGGGAAGCCCAAATTGAAATTGAAACTAGCTGAACCAGGCCATGCCTTAGCTGCACCAGAGGCTACTGGGAGGATGAGATATTACTTCGTCTCTTATGCAGCATCTGTAATAAAACCTGGCATGTTAGGACAACAATCAATGCCTATGCTAGGGGGAAAAAATGCAAACAAAACCTGTTTTAAGTCATTGTGTACAAACAAAATAAATGTAAGACTTTGGAAATGAAATGCAACTACTACTACAAAGACCACAGTAGTGCTGAAGGGCTTCTGTGATAGCTGAAAATGGAGAGGCCCAAACAGGGAGATGTTCAGAGGGAACTTTCCCTGCAGAATTTTGGGGGGAAGATCTGACAACACCATGTTCCCTGATTCAGGTGGTATCTCAAGGATCACAATTTCATAAACTCATAATTTAGGACCTTTACAATGCTCAAGACGGAGTGGCAAGTCTGAATTTAAGAGTAAAATCTTTAAAGAAAAGAAAGGAAATAAAATAGGAGTTGTTTTAATAATTTTGTGACAGACTGTTAATTCAAACACCCCCAAGGACTGACTTATAATGCAAGGGGCCAATTCCTAGTAGATAGCTGTATTTTTCCATTTTCCTACCCAAAAATTTAAAATCTGTATGAAAGTTATTGTAAAAATGTGATTCTGTCTCATCTTCCACAGCCTTGAAAGGAATAGACAATATTTATGAGAGTAGGTGGGTGCAGAATTATATTCAAAGCTCTACAGTATTCAGCTGTGAGATGACTGTGAGTCAAAAGTTTTAGGGCATTTAAGAACTGTAGAACACTGAGGATATTTTTCTTTTTGTTTAATTTTCTTAATTTTAAAAAATGTAGCTTGAAGGGGTTAACAGCAACATTGCAAAACCCACCAAGGTCAGATATTGGGAACAGCAGCTATGACTACAGAAAAGCATTACTCAGCAGATGCTGCAAAAGGAAAACAATACAGGTCTAGAAATGAAAGCAAGTTCTGCAGTGCAGCAATGCCCAAGAGATATTACAAGCAGCATTTCTACTGAAAATGTGACTGGCGAAATCAGCACTGAAAGATGCAGCTGAGATGCAAGCCTGAACATCAGCAGAGCATATCACCAGAGAGCAAGAGCCTTCTAGTCACAAGCCTACTGTGCCATTTTGTTCTTGTTCTTTTGTTCTTCAGAAATTGGCAGCACTTTAGATGGGAGGCCAAGCTACTGTAAGTACTGTATTTACAGAATACTGCAAGGCATAACGTGAGTGATAAATATACTCTGTAAAGAGAATCATTAACACTCAGCTACTAGAAGCTGCAACTATTCAGGATCTTGAGCTTAAGTAGGAGAGAAAACACCAACTTGATAAGGTTTTGTTAAGAACTCTCTTGCACACTCAGCCGAGCACTCTATAATCAATAGTGTGGTTTTAAAGAGGAGGCTCGCTGATGCCATATATTGAATTTGCTTAGCTCTGATTCCATTCAAAGTGCCTTTAGACTTCAAGGAATAAATTACCACTATCTAGCAGTACAGCTGTGATATTTGCATGGCACATCACAATAAAACCCACAGTGGGAATGGTTCAAATGTGACCCTGTCCAGATGTGAGAGAGAGGGCGTGGAGGGAAGAGTGGAACAACTCATTTTCTCCAGTGATGCTTTATCACTCTTCTAACCCTTGGAACAGCAGTGAACAGCAGCAGTATGTGTACAGACTGTTCTCACTGCAGAAGAGCTTTAACTAATTGAAAATAAAACAAAGGAGCACTATAAAATAATATGCCTGCGGTATGGAAAGGGAAGCAGTTACAGATACCCTTCTATAATATTTTAGATTTTACAGCTGTAAAAATAACCACAACAAAACTGCCCTCATGATTTGGAATGGAACAGAAATGTGTGTAAGTCTGTACCTATTACTACTGCAATCAACTATATTTTATATGAAAACCGGCATTTGTTTTTATGCAAAATTCAAAAAAATGCCTCCGGCTCAGTCAGGTACTATGAAACCCAAAAGATGAGCCTTAGACCAGTATTGGATCTCAGACACGGGTGGCTGCTTGCAGCAAAAACTGCAGCAAGGATCAGCAACTTCACCTTCTGACTGGGACATAAAGTGCCACTTCACAAACACAAAAATGTGGGATTTCATAGTATTATTTATATTGCCTAAGCAGATGTAACCTTGTAGCACTGAACAGAAAAGTATAGTCAGATGGCATGGCCACTTTGGGACTCTAATACTTTTTTTAGGATTTCAAATGCTGAAATGAGACAAGGATTCAAAACTTGGAACTGTTCAAGCAGCTCTGCTTAGTATTCTAAACATGCACCACTTAAATAATTCAAATTGGACTGCGCAATGCAGCGCCTTCCAAGCTGGGAAGTCAGCTGAGTGTTGTGCTCACTAGATTAGATAATTTGAGCATGAGAAGGGCATCGTACAGTGCAGTGAAGATTATTTTTTTCTCAGGACCCACTGGTAAGCAGCTACAAATTGAGCTATAACCCTTGCAGGTATGGAGTGCTAACAAGTCTATTTATTCACTTTTTGAAGAAAGCATGTGTTACATTGATGTCAGAAGGCTTAGAGAATTTTCAGTAGTGGCTGAGGCAGCCTTACAGCTGGGTTGGTCCTGACTCAGCAAGGTAATGTATTTTCAGTGACCTTTAAGAACAAGCAAGCTTAAATCCTGTGATTTCAGGAAGACTTGGCAATTCACTTCAAGCCAGGCCTGTGATTATGTATTTTAACAAAGGACTGAACCTTGGCACACAATCAGGTTTTACTGGACTCATGTCCCAGCATGGTCACTGCTCAGCACTCGATGCTCTCTTGATTAAGAAAAGTCACTTTTGTAGACAGAAGTGACCTTGCACAAGGTACTTCAGATCCACACTAGTACACTTTAATTAGAGGAAAATGTGTTTTAGGATAAAGTAATGATTTATTCACTGAAGCTTACTTTTCAATAGGAAAAAGATTTATAAAAAACTGTTTACATTCATCCAGTACCTCAACTGCAGTTCTCATTTGCTGTCACCATCCCAGAATAACTGGCATAAACTAGAACAGCCTTTTTTCCATTCCCACTCTAACCAACAGCAAACTTCTCATTAGCTCCAACCACAGAGACTGAAATTGGCAAGCATATGTAAGTATAACCAGATTTTCTTTAACATTATCAGTGAGGTGCTCTGTTAAATACGTCGAAATCTGTAATGGTTAATGTGAAGTGCGTCTGCACACCTTTTATACAAACACCTTTCCACTGAACTGCCAGAGAAATTTCCTTTCAGCATTTATTGTTACTGCTGCTTCCCACACCTCAGATCTAGCAAAATGCATATGACAAAGGTTCAAAGATTTTTTTTTACAATCTGCCCATGGTAATTGTAGCAGCTAGCACGGGCCTGTAGGAAAAAGTTGTTGTTCTCCTTTCACACCTTTCACTATAAATTGAAGACCTCTTTTGAAGGTTTTTACGCCTTAGAAATGTCTAGAGAGTTTGACATTTGAGAACAGTGATCACAATGGAAGTGAGAAGATCTAGTGTACAGCTCAAAGGCAGAGATGTGTCCTTGTACAGTACCTCCTGAGCAGAAAGAAGTAAGTGCAGTTACCTTGAGCTTTTAACGCCAATTTTGCATATCCTATGGCTTCCCATGGAGACGGAATATCTAGGAACACAGCATCTGCAATGTTTGAGACACCAAACCCATTTTTGCAGACATCCTGGTTAGTCACGGTGACCAGATGCTCCACCCCGTGCTCTCGAAATTCCTCCCTGGCCTTCTCAGCTCTCTGTTGGTGGAACTCCACTGTGTACAGGTGCCCTGTGGGAGCCACTGTTCTGATGAGCGCATGGGAGAGGGATCCACTGCCCGTACCTAGAAGAGGCAAATGGCTCATGAAAGGCCTTTTCACAGTGCTAAACATTAGAACAAAGGTCTTCTCCATTAGTTCTCCTGCTTGGAACACTTACTCAAAATGCAAATGAACAGAAACCATTGGTTAAACTACTGAGAGAAAACAGTCCTTTCTTCACAAGGAGAGAGGGACTAGATGACCCAGGAAAAGTGCTCCAAGAGAACACAAGGCAGTAAATGCAACAAGAAAAATTCAGGGAAATTAACCAAATTTTTCTCCGAGTGCTAGACTCTTCTAGAGTGAAATAATTTTTCTAGGGAGTCATACTTCAAATTATTTTCAAAACCTTCATTAAAACAAAAAGATGTTGGCAAAGCTCCATGCTTGAAAATCCTATTGCCATCCATCCAAACAAATGGCTTTCAGGATATGGAGTCTGTTTGCCCAGGCCTCTTAAGAGACACTGGCCATCCTCAACTCCCACCAACATTATCCCAAACTAAGGCCTCTGGGCTCCCTGCAGTCACACTGGCCAAACAACCTGACTTTACAGGTGACTTACATACATACACATACATACACACACTATCTTAATGAAGTCAAATGAGATCTATCACAAACCTGAAATTGTATCTAAGTACAATTACCCTGTACAACCAGGGACTAATTACTAAGACAGAGATTTTTTCCTTGTTTTGGTTTGCTAATTTAGGAAACTTATTTTAAATGACCAATTGGCATTCTAAGTAGATTAATGACTAATAAGCAATGTTTTCACTGAAGAAAACACCCATATACCAATTCAGATTGCAAATTACTCACTCAACTGGCATTTAACAGAATAACCCCCAAAACTCAAAACTTCACAGCAACCCAAAATTATCTGTGTTTATTGATTTATAATGCTGTACTTGGAACACATTTCTCCTGAAGAAAGAAAGTCTATTTCTAGCTATCTTCAATGACTGTTCAGGCTAAATTTCAGCTTGAAGCAAGTGCTTTCAACTAGCATAAATCTTCAACAACTTATAAAGGATGGAACCTAAAGTACAGCAGGGGTGGAGAAAGCTCAGAAACTAGTAGGAAGGAAGTAAATTAGGGGACATAAGTGCTTAATTAACCATAATAACCATACAGGGAGTCAGAGTCTGCTGATGGATCCAAGGTTCTTGCCCTCCAGTCACTTAAGGGCTGAAACATTGTTGTGGCACCTTATTTAATCCTAATCCGACAGCTCTGAAAGGGGAGCCACTCAGACCGTAAACAGGGCTCAGGGCCCGGGTTTGCCACCGGATCAACCGACCCAGCTGCGGAATCGGCCCTGCTCCTCTGCTTCCCTCTGAGAGGGCTCTGACCCCAGCGGGCAGACCAGCAGCCTCCCCCCATGCATTCATGCCAGCATCAAAGCAAACAAAAGGCAAAACGCACTTTCATGTGCACACATGAAAACCTTATCTAGTCAGGGCCCAGGTAGGCTCTAAGTGTCAACATAAACTTTTCTCGGGAGTTAACGGTAGCACGGTAGCCATGTGGTTGTAAAAACTCAGTGACATATGTGCATAGCAAAGAAACAGCATGTCATTGATTTATCTTTTTTTTTAAATGACAAAAGCAGGGAACTATTGTTCACAGGATGCTAAAATGATTGAAATTCTGCCGTTACATTTCATGCCAGAAGGCAGGATTGCACAACTGAGAACTTCAGTAAACTGACAGAATTTAATTATTTTGCCTCTCAAATGGGTAATGCTGCACCCTTTCTGCCTCTTTCTCTGCTACTCTAAAGGAGTGAACAAAAGGCCTGTCAGCACAGCTGGCTTGTAAGCAGAGAGAGAGGCAGCTTGTGCACATCTCCAGTTTCCTTGTTCATATTCTTTTACATTTTTAATCATGTTCCTTTTAAATCTGCTCTTAAAAACACCACTGAAGATAGTGTTTGTGTCTGCCTCCTAGGAAAACCCAGTAATGTTTTTTGGCTTCTTTTCTGGTACTATTTTTTTATTCACAAACTCTCCAAGCCAAACCCTGAACTGAAACCAGGATGTTGGAAGTCACCACTTGCAGGCACATTACAGACTGAGCTTTTGTTAAACTAGGTTGCCAGGATTTATTTACTGTTGACTGGCTATCACAAACATGAGAATACTACGAATATATCACACTTCTAACATATAAAATTCTACCTCACTAACATAATTCATGAGAGTATTTCTGAAGATGCTGCCTGCCTTCTCCGTGACAACACTCTCAAAACTGCAGGAAACAAAGAACAAGATGGTTATGAATCATCCACTATTGCAAAATCTATCCTTGAAAAGATGTCAGATTCTGAACCCAGTCCTGTAAAACCATGCAGACGCTCAACTCTCGTGTGCCTGATAGTTCAGCTCACTTGATGTCATTCACAAGAATATGAGAGTCTGGCAGTCCAGCATTAGTCCATAGTCACCACAAACCCTACAGTCCCATCAGCACTGTCTATAGAAGGCAAAAGTTCAACCCCATGTTTCTCTGATGTCGTAGAAGGGGAAATTCATGTTCATATTCACCTTCTCCCCTGAAAATTGGCGAGATTCAACATTTGAATCTTTCTGTCATCTCCTCTACTCCTTTTCAACTTCTCTCTATCCTTACTTCAAAATCACTACTGAAAAAAGCAGAATTCAGCAAAATGGGACTCAAAGTGTCCTAGCAACTACTCTGGAGGAAGTTCTAGTTAGGTTCAGATTTACTTGGGAAATGAAAGGCTTCCTTAGTGCAGGACAGAATCAGCCAGGGAAGCAGGGAAATGTAGGGAGCACTACTGAAACATGGACTTGAATGCTACCAAACCTGAAATACTATAGCTGAATTACCTGCATATAAACAAACCAAAAAACCCCACGCTCAAAATCAATATGTTGTCTCAGAGGAGGCAAGTTAAGAACTGGATGGACTTCAAGAGATTTTCATTCTCATATAGGTGCAGTGAAGTAACTGTCTTCCTGATTTGGCCTAAAAAAACAACTTCTAGAACAAATACAGTTTATAATTTTTGTAGCAGGACGCATGCCTTTTTAACAGCTTGCACTATTATAGCCTTATAAATGGTTTGTTCCCTGCCACAGGACAAAGACCATTTAACTAGACTGTATTAATCATGAGTGGACTTCACAGAAGAGATGTAAACCAATAGTAACTCAAACTGCACTGAAGACATTCTTAACACCATAGCTGCTGTTTTAAGAGCTCACTCAGGTGAGCAGTTAGGTCATTGCTAATGCCTTTGGGAAATATGATGTATTCTGTGATTTTAACATCTCAGTCAAAAGCAGACATCTGCATTGCAGGCATTTAATGAGGCACTGCAGGGTTCCCAGTATGCCATACTCAAAGCTCAAACTCAGAGGAGAACTGTGAAAGGCATCAGCATGTAGACTACTAGGGAAGTGTTCACTCTCAGTACAAGGGCATGAATTAAGATCATGTGTTAAAACCACAGGAGTTAAGTGGCTAATGGCCCTGCAGACTGATGTTGTATCCTTCCCTTCTTCTTGGGCTGAGGCACAGTCCATTCTTTTGTGATATATCTAAGCTCAGGAGAGTGTTTCTGCCCTCTCCCAAGACAAGAACACTGCAGTTTCAGAAGGATTTCAATCCTAACAAGTGGACACCTAGATGAAACACTCCAGCTCAGCACCTACTGATACTTCCTTCTGATTTGTAGACAAGAAAATATTGATCAGATGAACTCTGATCGTTCCCCTGACCTGAAACACACCAGTTATTCTCACCCTCTGCTTATTCAAGTGACAGGTTTTCCACAGAGAAGCCTCCAAACTCTTCAGCCATCTTGAGACAATGTCCATGTATGTAAAGATTGTTTCTCACCTTCTCAAAGCAGCAGTGGACATCTGAGCTGTTCAAAATACCACGTGCTATTTCAACACAGTAGAGATACACATCAGAACACTGTCAAGAGAACCATAAGCATTATCCCAGCATCTATCATAGCACTTGACTGGTAATGGAACAGGAGTACATTTTTACACTGCATTCTGTTTATTCTGCTTGTCTTACTGCAAAGGATATTTGTCTAACTTCCTGGAATCCCATCCATACTATAAACATGATTCTGTGTTTTACTACATTTCCTCATCGCAGGCTATCTCTTTGCTCATCTTCCCTAAAAATTTTTCATCATGAGTGCTTCTTTTTAAAAACAGGAACTACAAACTGTGATTTAGGACCTATGGATGTTTACAGTAGTTTATAAGCAAATGCATTTTGGAATAAAGCTGAAGAAGCTCTTAAGTGCATACATAGGTTCATACTGCTTGGAAAGAGGAAAAGTGGAAAGTATGCAGCACAATACTTAATACTGGATCAATATCTAATATTTTAGTAGAATTGATGTTTCTGCTCCAAAATCTGGCTACCTAAGACATTCTAAAATGAGTAAATAAAACAAAGCAATCACAATGTTGCTGTATTTGCCTCCTAGCTATGCCAGATAGACTTAGCAAATAGTAAGACAGGTCATAGGTCAGCCATGAGAACGGAAGGAACCTCAAAACTCATACTGATCTTTAGTCAGAACTAACAACTCCACAGAAAATATCAAAAAACACTGAACAGAGAAAGACTGCTTGCTGTACGTGACAGGTTTATGTATCAGAAGTATCATTAATTTTTAACAGGTATATGGAAGAGATATTATGCCTCTGATGGAAACTAACCCAAAAATCTTATTGTGAAATTAGTCAAGGGTGGCATGGGGAGACACAGCAAGACCAGGCGCAGTGAGAGGGAGGGAGAAGAGGGAGAGAGTTTCAAGATGAGCTGGTGGCTGAAAGAGGAAAGAGCAAATCAAGAAGTTCCCTTTATGAAAGATAATCTCTTTCTCCTGCTTATCTGCTGTGGACACCATACAGAAACAGGCATTTCAGGCAGCAGGCTAGACGTCAGAGAGGGCTGCTGCTTACTGGAGTTGGGAAAGGTAGTAGGGAAGTTTTCAAGGCTGGCACTGCCTACAAAAGGAATGGAAATCTGAAGGCTGAGAATTATTTTTCCTTAGAGATTCAAGAGCCAGAGTTCTTTAGGGAGGGATCTTCTGCAAGTGAACATACTAATACAAAGTTCAAAGCTGCCTGAGTGGTCAAGTGAATTGAGAAGATGAGAAAGTGAGCCCAGAAAGTCTGCAAACAAACACTTCAGGGTATGAACAGCATTCTTCATCAGCTGCAAGTCAGCCAGAAGTCTGAATATATCAGTGATGCCTCATGTGACCACAGTTTTGGTTCAGTTATTTGGTATGTCAAGAGAATAAATACTATATTCTCCAATACTTGCACATCGAAAGGTGCTATACAAGGCTTGGGTTTTTTAATTCTTCTCTCACTCTAACCTGAAGAGCTGCTAAGAAGTAGGTAAGGGAGACATTATAAAAGATAGACTTAAATAGTAAGAGCAAGTTCCAAAATCAGATTAATACTTAGAAATTTTGGTCTGTACTTTACACTAAAAATAGAGCTGCAAACAATTTACATATACTTAGGCCACAAAAATTGTAAAGACATGAGCAGGATTTGTCAATAAGTCTACAACACTTCAGAAGAGTCATAAGCATACAGCTGATTTGCTGGGGCTCCACAATAAACACACAATAAATAATTTACTGCATATCATTAATCATTAAGTCCTCATTAATTTTTTATGAGTGTACTCTTACCAAAATCTATACCCAGGCTGTGAGTTTGAAAATTTCCTAATTGTTTTTAAGAAGCTCCAGTGTAAGGCTGACTAGCAGCTCTCATTACTGCTCCACAGAGAAACCATGAGAACCCAGAATACTGTCTTCAGTCTTCAGAAATCCAGCCTGTGGGGTTAGAAACTCATTTCTGTGTTGCAATGAACAGGATTTACCAATTTTAACTTGGGATTTAGCTGAAGGGAAATGAAAAAATGCAGTTAACATTTCTGCTCATGTGAGTCTGGTTTTGTTGAATCCTGAAGGATCACTGGGATGGTGGTTAGAATACTTCCAAGTAAATTACATTTGCTCTAAAGACAATGTTCCATCAAAGCCAAAATATTTCTGAGATTAATCAGATTAAATGAAGTTTCACAGTACTGTACTGCACTCCTTCAGTAATTTAGAGGGTTAGGACAGACACTTGTTCTGGTCTCACCAGGGAGAAAGGACAGTAAAAAAGCCTAGATCTGTGGGGTGTGTGGGGACTGGAAAGAAAAAAAAAAGTTTCAACACACTTCTGTTAGGAAAAAAAAATTACAGGTTTCATATTGGTCCCGATGTACTATAAAAATACATGTGAAACTCCCAATTTTTTTTGTCAGTTTGAGTTGTTACACTTCAGGCAGCTGTAACCACTAGACTGAAAATAGCCTTGCCTGGGAAGTTGACATGAGGATTCATTTCGGAGAGTGTGGTGACAGAAAATAGAGATTCAGCTTATTCCTTTCTCTAGACAGTGGCTGCACATGAAATGAACACAAATGGGATCAGAGTTACCTGACAAGAATTAAAGTTTCGCTCTACCAGGCCACTCACAGCAGGTACCTTAGCAGCTCTCTCAAGTATCCTCTAATTCTGGAAAGATCAGGCTGTTGAAGACTCTATCTGAGTGGGGAATTCCTCATGAGAAAGGGCCAAAGCTTCCAAGAGATCTTGGCTCCAGCAACAATTCTAAAAGTTTTTAAATCTCAACATACCTTTTTAAAATTAGAAATTAGCAGAAGACAGTAAAAGGATCATAGTCCCACACCTCCGTCATGAAACATCAGGGAGATGCAGAGTTCCCTTATAGCCTCAATAGAAAATGGTTGGATCATTTTAATTATGCATGCACTACTGACAGGCTTGCTCTTTATGTATTTTAAAGATCATTAAAACAGTAAAAACTTTATTAATATGTTTATATAATTTAAGACAAATAATGGCTAATCAATTTAAACGGCATGTAAAATTACACCTTCTGGTTATTCTGCTGATTTTTTCTAATCACAAAATATCATTTACAGTGGTATTGACAGCATTACCACATGGCATGGAGGGTATTTCATCTTATTTTATTGATCCTTTCTTCATACAGTTGTGGAGACTAATCCACAATTCTGCTTGCTTACACTGAGTAAATGCAGGGCACTCTTCCACAGTCTAATTAGTAAGACAAGAGGAAAAGAGCCTGGCCTGTCTCCAGTGCATGCTTTGCCAGTCCATACAGAAACTATGTGTATCAGTTCAATTTCAAGTAATAAAAAAGACAGACCTTCATGCTAATTAATGTTCCAAATACATCTAAAACCAGCACAAGCAGGAAGCAAATTTAAATGTCATTACTAGACCAGATTTCCTGTCTTGTTTCTATTAATCACCATTGGGCTGGTTCCGTCCAGGCCACACAAGGTTATTCTAAGAACTAATGATTTTGGATCACTGAATACTGTCTAATTTAGGATGGCACCAAAGTAGGTTACATCATCACACTGGAGGCTTCAATACCTGTAGAAATTTTAGTTCAAATAACCACTTCTGGTCAGTTGCAAGCAAATTTGCAGTAAGGTTTCCTGCTTCACAGTTCACCAGATGGACTTCATGCATTACTTTTTCTTCCTTTTTTTCATGATCAGTTCATCTTTCAAGCAATAAAAACAAAACTGTAGAAGTAAAACTGTTCACTTTTCCTGGAAAGCTTAAATTGTAATACTTAGCACAGGCAGTAAAATAAGCCAGGGAACAGTTTCCCATTAGCAAAAAGGATTGTTTGTGTCTGTAACTTTTGACTCACAACATTTTTGGGAATCTGGATAGGTTACCTCATCGTGACTTTCCATTTCTTAGCTGTTTAAATAGGCAAGCTTTTAAATGTTTTCACTCTCTAGCTACCTTTGACATTACTGAAAACATTTTATGTGCAGCTCTGTACTTTAACATTTACCTACTCCAAGTGGGGCAGACATGGAGCAATTCCAGTCTCCTCCACTCTGAATAATTTGTCCTATTTACTTTTCCCATTCTGTCTGAACATGGCAGGGAGAGAAAGAGGTGAAGAAATACCCAGTGAACAGTACTGCTTCTTCCCATGACAACTCTAAAAATGCCTGATTGTCCCACAAACCCAATTATAAATTCCTAAGACCCAACCATTTTAGCAGTATCAGAGGTTTCTGCATGTGGCTTTGCTCATTTCAGGTGCTGCTGTAGAGCAAGGGGCTCCATGTGGCATCTGTTTCTTAATGGATGCAAGTGGATGCAGAGATAAATGGCATTTCAGTTGTGTAGGAAAGTGGACATTATGCTCGAAAAGCTGCCAAAAATTGTGCTTGAATGGGAAGAAGAATTGTTAAATGCAAGAAAATGCTGTGCAGCACAACCACATCATGCTGATCCTTTGCCATATCTACACTTGAGAGGGAAGTGTATGAAACTGCTTCATAACAAGACTCAAGGAAGAAGCCAGAAAAAACAAGGACAAAGTACCTCAGTTAATATTTTTCCAAACTAGAGAGGCAATCAAATCAAGCAAGCCTCATATTGCCTGTATGAAGGCATTACTGCAAACTGCTTCTAACTAGGAAAGTATCTATTAGTATAAAATTTCATTCCTTACTTGCAGATCAAGCAAAATCACGGAAGCTGTATTAAATTAAACCAAGTTTAGAAACAAACACAGCCCTGTGAGAAACACATCATCCTTTGTATTATACAGCTACAGTGATTTTGCATGCAGTTGCAGTGCTGCAAGTGGATCACACTTCGGAAGAGAAAGATGAACTAGATGTACTTACAGGGTATCACATTGTATAAATACCACCCATTTGTTTTCCTTATTAGTTCAACCCTATCATCACAGTCTTGTTCACTGGGTTATCTCAACTATGTTCTCTGAAACTGCAAATTCAAAGCCTAGATTTTTATTCAAAACATGTAATTAAAAATGTTTTAGAAGTACATCAGTTCCAGAAAAGGGTAAGAAAAATGTTTATATATTTATTTGAAGAAGATGAATTAACCAAACACAAACGTATCCTGATACAGGAGGCCACCACACTGAGGTAACATTACTTGTTGGAGAAATAGCAGCTGGGTAATATGTGCACATGAAATAGAGCTATTCCATGCGTAGGCTGGGAAAATTATTACTACAATGGAAAAAAACCAAACACAACAAGCCAGACACTTTTTGCAAAATGTAAAGATAAGCCTGTTTTTTCCACAAAGTGTTGGTGTTAGTTCTTAATAAAGGTTTTCAGCACATTGATTATTACCTGATTCGCACACTATGGAGCCCGGCTTCAGTTCTAACATCATGGTGATTATAGAGATGTCAGTGGAATACAGAATCTGCGTCCTGTGTGGAAGATTCATGGTCCACAGTTCTGGAGTTGGATGAAGAATAAACACCCATCCTCCTTTACTGCAGGTCACTTTGGAGCCATACTTCTTGCCTATGAGGTCCGTGGAATGTCTGATGACCCCGTACTTAGTCTGAGTTACAGTGCCATGCTGGACTTTCACAGGAAACATGGATTCGTGGCCCAAGAACACAATAGCTGTGTCACCATCCTTTATTGTATCTCCATACTCAACAAAACTCATTGTGACAGTCCTGCAGTTGGCTGATGCTTGTCACCTAGAAGAGAATATACAAAGAGAGTTTTGCAGGATTACAATGGAGCTGAAGCTACAGACATAAACCCAAGTAATTTTAAATAAACCCAGAGCAGAATAAGAACACACTGTGTAAGTAAGATGTTAGCAAGGGAACTCCATGAAGTTTAGGGACCTCCCCCTTGCTGTACTCTTGATCCAGTTAAAATCAATGGAAAGATCCCGCAGGTTTGCAAATAACCAATATTTTTTTTCCCATCTTATGGTACATTTTAAAGAAAATTTAGGAAATACATTATTATTATTATTTACTCAGCATGTTCCACAATACTACTGAGAAACTTGCCAGGTGTTATAAATTTCAGTGCTCTGTTCAATTCCAGATCACAAGCTCTCAGAGTATGTGTAGTAACTTTTATTTCCATCTGCTGGCTTATCCCTTGGTGATTTACAGCATAAAACAACTGTTACTTGCCTAGATCTCAATCACTAGTCATTAGGACACTAAGAAAAGTTTACTTTGAAAGTTTTCCAGATGAAGGTTTAGAGATAGGATACAAGTAATATCTGCATTAATTTCTGCTTCAATTTTACTAACTACAAGGACAAAAAGAATATTGTGGCCTTTAATTTGCCATTGCAGGCGCAAAGTAATTGTCTGGGAAGTGATTTGTGCTGCAAGTGAATGTAAACAACCATTTGCAAGCTAATGCAAACACTTGTATCACTTTAGCCCATGCTCTTAACAGCTGCTTAGAAAATTGCAATTAAATTTTGAAGCCAACCTAGACATGGGAGGCAGCTTACAATGAAACTTGGCATTGCCTTTCAAATAAGGCAGCTTACTATCTAAGCTGCAGGTTGGTAAGTTTGTGGAAGGAATTGTTCAATAAACTAATGGTGACCCCGAAGTTAGAAATCAAAGCCTGTGACAGATGGCTTTGAAAGTCAGATTTCTAGTCACTCTTCCATGAGATAATTAATAGCAAGTTCCTCTTAGTTTCAGAATAAGTATTTGAGTCCAGCACTTTTGTGTTGACTATATAACAGCTTGGGAGAGACAAAGGATAATGGGTGCAAGTTACTCCTCAGGAGGTCCTGAGTGGACACTAGAAGAAATTTTTTTACTATGAGAACATTCAGACATTGGAATAAACTCCCCACGGAAGTGGTGGATTCTCTAACACTGGACACTTTAAAGACTCAGCTTGACAAGGTGCTGGGCCACCTCATCTAAACCATGTTCCTACCTAGAAAGGTTGGACCAGATGATCCCTGAGGTCCCTTCCAACCTGGCATTTTATGATTCATAATTTTAATTTAAAACTTTAAATTCTCATCTCTTTTTGTCAAACAGAACTCATTGTAGTTCAATTTGCTGTTAAGCAGCTAGATTTATAATTTTTCCAGTAACTGAGATGGATAAACAGATGTGCTTGTGGCCAAAACTTCCAAAGCTTATGACACGGTTATTGCATAAGGTATTCAGATGCCAAAGCAGAATAGTCCTGTCTGGATGTATGGAGAAACAGTAAGAAAGGCATCCCATGAATTCAGAAAAGTATACAGACTGCATTTTGTGAGATTGTACAAATGCTTAATCGTGTTTTATAGCTTGCGTCTTCTGGTTACATTCATGTTCTCAATCCTTCAGAAATGACACTAGTAGTTCTTATTCTAGGTACTATTAATGCAATGTAGTTTTCAGCTCTTACAACAGTAACAACTGAAAAAAAGCTCAGCTGTAATCCATTTCTTTCACAGTATTTAGACTGTAGTCACACCCTTGTGCAAAAGCAGAATTCCAGTGACAGAGAGAGAATTCTTCTCCCTTTCATTACACAAACTGGCTTCCAGTTTCTTTGCCTTCCTTTGAGCCACTACACTTACCACAGTAAATTGTGAGAGTTAATTGTCACAACAGTGCACGCTGACATCCCAAGTGACAAATCTCAGGCTCAGATCTTGCTGGGCGTGTTATATTCATACACCTGGGTTAAATTTGGGGTCTGTGAGGAGTTATAGTAGTTTCTTGGTCTCCCCCTATGGCAAGGAGCACAATGATCTACACTCATTTTAATTCAACAATTTTCTATTCCTTACCAATGCAGGGCTTCATGCATTCTGGATACATTTCTCTCCCTTACTCTCTGGGTAGCTTTCAGGTGTCTTGATACAGCATTAATTTTGCAACTCTGCTGTGGAGTAGGAGTGAAAGGGAAGGCAAGACTTCTGGCAAGGGGCTTTCTATGGGCTTGTCATTACTGCAGCCACCTAAACTCAATGACCCAGGTGAGCCCTTGGACTCTCACAGATTAAGCAGCCTTCTAGTAACTGAAGAAGCTACAGGAAAGCTGGGGAGGGACTTTTTACAAAGGCACGTAGTAATAGGACAAGGGGTAATGGTTTTAAGCTGAAAGAGGGTACATTTAGACTGGGCATTAGTAGTAAAATCTTTAGTGTGAGGGTGGTGAGACAGTGGAACAGGTTGCCTAGGGAAGGTGTGGCTGCCCCATCCCTGGCAATGTTCAAGGCCAGGTTGGATGGGGCTTGGAGCAGCATGGACTAGTAGGAAGTGTCCCTGCCCACGCAGGCGGGTTGGAACACGACGATCTTTAAGGTCCCTTTCCACCTAGACCATTCTCTGATGAAAGCACCAAAACACGTGTTGCCTTCAACCAAAACCCAGGCCCACCCCTCCCTTCCCCACCATGTCCATGCAGACCTGGCCGGCTGCCTCTGTCCCCCGAGACGCCTGGCTCCTTGGCAGGGCAGCAGGAGGCAGGGACTCCCCCCGGGCAGTGCCGGCCCCCGCTCACACCATGGATGGATCCGGCCCGGCTGACCCGGGCCCTGCGGGTGTCTGTGGCTGCAGGAGCTTAATGGCCGCTCC